ACCCAAACTATTCTATGATTCTATATAGTGATATTAACAGAAAGACTGGCAGCTTAGACATAATCACTATCTTTCTGAGTGGGAAGCACTAGCAGGATGTATTCATGATTTATTTAAAAGAAAAAAGCAATTTGTATTAGAGCACTTGTTAATTTAACAGCCAAACCACACAATTAAACATTTGGAAAATTAATACTTCTGGCATTGAAGGAAAGCAGCAAACCCAACCATTGAATGAAAACTGGAGACTTTGCAGTACGGTACTTTTTGTCAGAAGGGAAGTACCAATTTTGTGACCTTTCCAAGTTCGACCAGTTGTCAGATAAAGGCTGCTATCAACATTTTCCCCTGGAAATGTTTTTCCAAAAGGCTGATAACACAGAAAGTGTTTGGTTTCAAATAGTTGTGGTCTTTTTGTTGTTTTGCTTTGTTTTGTTTTTTAAAAAAACAGCAGCACAAGAACATAACAAAAATCTATCCTAAATTCTCAGAGTTCAGATACGCTTTTGGTGAAGCTTCATTCTCTTTCATGTGCTAAGACTCCTGAGCAGTAGCCAGCTCAAGTGTTCTCTTGCTGTAAAGAGTAACTTTCGATGCTTGATCTTTATGTATAGAAACACAGCGGAAATGGGAATATTTTTAGCAACCCATATTTTCTTCACTGATTGTCCTTTCAGACATGCAGAAGAACACATTCATTTACATATGCCTTTTTCTTCTGGAACCAAAATACTTAGAGGCATCTCATAATAAATGTACTTCACGAAAGAACAATAGAGTCTCAATTCATCTAGTTCTTTGGAATTTGCTCTTCTCACTTGCTTTCATTTGCAAAGAAAGGATGGCCCAGTAGTTACGTTATTAGCCTGCTGCTTTGGAGATGGGTTTTAGTGCTCTCAAGGTGTAGATTTCCTTTCCAACTTGGACAAATCTGTCAGATCAGGAGAATACTACTCCATCAAACCAGGACATTTTGACGGTGAATATATTAGTTCATCCTCAGATGATGTAGTAAACATCCAAAGTAAGAATATGAGGGAATTTTATTAATATTCTATGAAAAATAGATGCTATTACCACACAGTAGGTCTACAGTCAGTGGTGAAAACATAAGCAATGAAATTTACTCAAATTATTTAGCATGAAACATTCTCTCTTAAATTGTATGCTTTTTGTAGGACAGCATTTTTACTTTGATAACTTAGAATTCTTTGGCTCTGATGAATAAATATGAAAGATTTAAGGAGGTATTGGAATGATTACTGGTCTCTCTGTACTAAATTAAATCAACTGATTTCCTTAAGAGCAACTGTAGTCGTGATAGCATGCAGCATGAATGTTGTAACTCGATTATATTGTTTAGTAAAAGGTACTTTAATGAAGTCTGTAAAGACAAGTTGTTTATTACTCATTTCTATCACTCTGTGGATCCAACCCCAATTTATGAAGGAGGATGGTAGGTGTAGGTGATTAGGCAGACTTTAGTTTGAATCAGGTATGTCTTTTGGAGGGACTAAGTGTTCTGTTTCCGTCTCATTGCTGATGAGGCATATTGCATTAAGTCTGTCGTCTGGCAGACTTCCCAATGAAGCGTTCTTCGTTTTACAGCACTACTGACAAAACTCTGTTTGGTCCAAAATAACAGCTGAAGCATTTAGTATCTGTGGTTCTTTGTTTTTCTTGTAGGGTCAACGATTGCATCTTGCGAGTGAATGAGGTCGACGTGTCAGAAGTCTCACACAGCAAAGCCGTGGAGGCCCTAAAAGAGGCTGGCTCCATAGTACGATTGTATGTTCGTCGAAGGAGACCTATTCTGGAGACCGTGGTAGAGATCAAGTTGTTCAAAGGACCTAAAGGTAAATACAAAAATGAAAACACATTTTAAACTTGATGCATAACCTCTCTTGTAGCTCAAATGGCATCTGAATTTGTTGATTTGTTAACTGGTTGACCTGTCAAATACTGAAATGCAGTTAATTTAGGCTGGTAGAACTTGAATTCATGGTTGCATGTCTCTTCCTGAAAGAAAAGAATTCAAGGAGTTGTGGTTTGTTTCACTTGATGTTTACTGTAGAGATGGCTTGTTACCTCCCAAAGAAATGCAAGATGCAGGGACATTATGCTTTACATTGGCAGCACATATACTGGTGCTGTTGAATACAGAGTTTCTGAATTCTCCCTTTTTTCAGAAGGCTTTATGATTATCCAACTTATCCTTTCTACTTTCATGTTAATGGTTTCTTCCACAGTTATCTTTAGAACAAGAAGACAAGAATACTAACTTACCCATATATGTAGAAGAATTTTATCTTATCCTTCAACAAAATTACATGGAAGTCTAGCATGAAACCTTCACTGACGTCTAAATCAGCTTTACCACTTCCAGCTGTAACCTTCTGGTTACAGAAAAAAAAAAACAAATTCCTTTCTAGAAGCACTAGTACAAATTGTGAATATTATATTTTCACCTTTCCTTTTGCAAAAAAAATTTATTTTCAGAAGTGTTATTTTTAACAAATTTCATTTTATTGTTTTTCCAGCCTGAAATTTCCCTCTGGCTACTCTGTTTTTCTTCATAGCTAATTTCTGGGCAAAGAAAATGGATATTTTCACAGTACATGAGAATAGAATGTACAGCAGTAGATTTTTGGATCCATAATAATTATTTCATAAGCAAGTCTAATTAATGGTATATACATGAAATGAAGACATTTGCGTGTCTTTTAATATATGCCATGCACATGAGATTATTCTACCTGTTTCATCTACAGTGAATAACCTGTCGCTTTTTCAGTGGTTTCCCTTGCATCTCATCTCATGTGAATATCACAGTATGCTTCTACATAGTTTTTTATACCAATAACGGAGTATATTTGTTTCTAATACACTTGGAATTGTTGAGATTATCCATTCAAGCAAAGCAAAGACAGTGCACTGGTTTCAATATTGCATAATACCTCTTCTGTGTATATCATGGTGACACAGCAGTATATTCATCATCCTCTACCCTTGACGAACAGTAAGATACATTTAAACATGCGTGAAGGTAACACCCCCCAAAAGTCTGGATTCTTGTGGTCAATTACAATGCTAAATTGACTTTCTAATAGAAAAGCATCTCTAATGAGATTTTGCACGTGTATGAACTAGAATAGTATTAGAGGTCCTTTCCAACCTCAATGATTCTATGATTCTATGATTCTATGATTCTATACCCTTGACGAACAGTAAGATACATTTAAACATGCGTCTGAAGGTAACCCCCCAAAAGTCTGGATTCTTGTGGTCAATTACAATGCTAAATTGACTTTCTAATAGAAAAGCATCTCTAATGAGATTTTGCACGTGTATGAACTAGAATAGTAGTGCAGGCAGCAGTGTTTTTAAAGCTTTGGAATTAAACTAAGTGTGTGATATGATAGTCATTTTGAGTAACCTAAGGCTAAAGAAACAAAAATTAACATATCCTTTCAGGTTGTGATGAAACACTAAAAATTATTTGTCGTGACCAAATTTGTGCTGCATTGTGGAAATGGACAAGAGAGGCAATCATTATCTAATAACGTTCTTGCATCATGTTTGTTTTGATTGTATGCCTGAAACTATTTATTTTTACATTTATTTTCATAAAAGAGAGTGGATACCAAAAAGGTGCCTTTTATGACAAGCTAAAGAAGCTTTGCTGCTTAGTGCTACAAACATGAATTTTGTAGCTATTTTCTTACATGAAGTTTACTACAGATATGTGCTATAAATAGTGAATTTTATTGTTAAGCTGAATATCTTTTTTAAATTTTCTCTTCAATATTATAGAAATAAGTTAACTGGAAACTTGGATTTAAAATGTTGATGGGCTAGTTCTTTCAAAAGCCAGGTTTTTTATCTTTATAATTTAGGCAGTAAGGAAGCATACCCTTGTATGCTTTCTGTACTCCACAGATGAAAAAAGCAGAATGAAGAAAATAGGTTATAGATTGGTTGGAAATCTTATCGATACTAATTAAAATATATCTGTAGCAGTTTTCCTTTGAATTTTTCAAAATCTTCCATGAAAAATAAACTGTTGAGAGGCATCAAACTCATGGCAGAATCTGAGAATAAAACCTGTGAATCTTGACTGTAGGCTTCAGTGCTAGTCACTCATGTGATGTTTATCTACTCATATTTCAGGTGATTTATCTGTGAACTGCTCTTTCACACCATTACTATAAAGTGTAAGAACAACTTAATATTTATATACACAATGTCTGTTACTTCTCAGAGTGAAAATGGGACGTTTTGGTGGCCAGAGCAGGACTGAAAATCAGCGTGGTAGTTCCCACACCATTCCTTCCTTCCTACTCACAAAGTGAATAAAGAAAATGAATCTGGTTTTTAGACAAGAAGGCTGTTCCGTGCTAAACTTGGAGTAGCAAATATCTTTTCAGCTGCTTCTTTTCCTGTCTGTCTCTGTCAGTATATAATGCAGTATATACAGAGTTCATTTCTCACGGTGTTGAGAATTTACCTCATGAAAGCAAGTCTTGGCTTCCGTAATACCATGTAAGCTGAGAGATCACTAGCTTGCCTGTGTATGCGTAATAGATCATATCTTTCAGCACTTGAAGGTGATAAAGAAGGAAATTTGCAAGGCTTTTTATATAAATATTCTTTTAATTTCATCTGATGTATTCAGGATGAGGGCTTTTACAAGCTATGAGTCCATAAAGGTTAGATGTTAATTTTTCTAGCTAGCAACCACCATATAAAAGACATAGGTTAATTTTGAAAATCTATTTTGAACATAAGTGAAATATGCATTGCGTAGCAATGGCTTTGGGCATGTGGCAGGGGAAAGGTCATGGCAGTGTGCTGCCAAGTGGTCCCTTTTGAATGCAGATCCCGTGCAATTGTTCCTGCTGCTTTACAAAAAAGCTGTCCTAGCATCATAGTGCTAAAAGGCCATGTAACCCTTTAACTTGACTTTTGGGAAAAAAGGTAAACAAAGGCACAAATGAGTTGTGTGATAGAAAAATCAAGGTTTCAAACTGAAACCAGAACTGCAGCTGTGTAGGGATTTAAAGCTGTGTAGGTATTTAAATCAGTTTGCCACACCTGATTGATAATATTGGCTGATGTCTATAGTCTTGAAGGTAATTGCTAACTGTGATCATTGCAGGATCTTCCTCTCTTTCACGTGCTCGGGAGATTGTCTTTTGTACGTCTCTTCAGTCAGACATACCATTTTAGTGATTGTTTGGCTTTGCACAGCATTTAGTAGTAAACAGTAGGTGCTTTCTTTCAGTCACTCTCAGGACACTGCAGGTTTTAGCAGCCAGTGTCTTTGCAGTGGCTGAGGGCTGTAACAGAGGAAGGATATACAAGGAGCTTTCTTATTGAAAATCAATACGATTTAGACACTACTGAAAATCCTGTCCTTAAGTAATACGCTTTTCTTGCTCTGTATTGAAACATGACAAGACTAACAGTGATGAGAATGGATTGCATACACTGCAGTATCTGCTCCTGGGGAACAAACACGCAGACATTCAAAACAAAGCAATTTAATGGTGGTATTTGGCTTGTAATATAACTTGTGTATTACCTTCCTGTAAGACCCTGCTGCAAAGAACTGTGTATGAGCAGTGAATTACGAACTTCAGTCACTATTCAGAGATTACAGTGCTCAAACCCATTCAATTGCATTTGACTGGAGGATTTTAAACCAAAGGAATTCCACTGGCCTCTGGAATTTTCATGCTGTCCTATCACACTGAAAATCTACTTTTTACTAAAACCAGAAGTACTGAGTAGTATGCTTAATGTAAGATTAGTTATAGAAACTAAACTTAATTTTTTTATTTCATTTTTTAGAGTCAGCCAGAAAAAATAATTTCTACCATTGTAGAAAATTTCTGACATTTAGAAACTTAGTTAAACACAGAGATTGTACAATATTTTACCTACCAATACCTAACTGATAATTTAAGCTCTGATATTATATACCAGAAGAAAAAAAAATGCAGAAAATAATGATTCCAGCAAATACAGCAGTGTTGGATCACATAGTAAACTTCTGACCTCAATTCTATAGGAAATGTGACATCTTAAAAGACAACACAGCTGGAGGAATGAAGTTTAGGGTATGTGAAGCAGAACAGCTGAGTACCAGGAAACTTGAGAGGAGAAATGGCAGACTTAAAAACACCCAAGAAAGGAACAATATAAAGGATAGCTGATTCTGCCATCTGGATATTCTGATGGCATGAGCACAAAGTCATAAAGAAACAGGATTAATTTCCCACACCCTTCATGACAGTAACTATCATTACAACGTTTGAACTGCGTCTGAATCTTGCAGTGATGGCTAGAGCTGCCCTTTTGTTCACTGTATTTTAGACAGAAGAGCTCTGGACAGATCGGCAGCTATGTCTCTTTTCTGTTGTCTGTAAGCATGCTTTTTTCTCATTCCTGGTGAATTCAGCCAGTGATACATTCTGATCAGGTTCACCCCACGCAGCTTCGGGCACTTAACAAAAGATATTTGGGGGCACTTATTCCTCTACTCTTTTCTGCTCTCAGAATTAGGGCCATATCAGGACTTTTCCTTTAATCCATTTGGGGTGTTATTATGTTTTGGGGCTCTAAACTAGAAATTAATGCATCTGTTAAGCACTGTTCAGCCCAATTCTGTATCTCTCTCTGGATAGCTATCCTCCTTAATTTTCTTCTTAATCAGCAAAGACTAAGCCCCTAAACTGGGCATCTCAATAAATACTCAAAAATAAGATGGGGTGAATACAAAGGGTGTAATACACATTTATTTTTTGAATTATGTATATCCATCTAAATGTTAGATGAAGTCATTGGGCATAAC